GGAATGCTGGTGAGGTCACAAAAATATTGATGATGTATTCGACGATTTGGTTGGTTAAATTCTATCATAATTTTTGTTCTCAGGATCATTCTTTGTACTTTTCTTCACGATCTTTTTAATAGGGAGGAACACCTGTAATTACAACCGAAATCTTACATAATTCAACTGATATTTCATCAAATATCCAACGAACTTCACAACACCAGGTGTGTACTGAATTTCTGATTGAGCTTGATTTGCCACGCGAAACAGCCGTAGTTGCGAATATTCTTACCGACATAAAAACCGGACGATTCAGGATTCAGAGAATTAGATATATTAATATATATTAATTTTAAATTCCAATAGTACGATCCTATATATTATCTAAATTACGCTGATTTTGCCGCACTCACAAACAGGTTCATGAACAAGAAACGACAACGACACATGCAACTCAACAGGACGCAACCATAGGAGAAATCACATCTAGAATGGAAGAGATGAGACTCTACGAATCAACTCATTATATTGGCGAAGGTTCATTATTAATGATTAGTGAAGAAGATAATGGCGAGATTTTATTACCAAAAGACCAACCAAATCTGACGGAAGTAGATGATTCTCTAAAGATTTTACCCAATTTTGAAACTGTACTTCAACTTATTAAATTGTATTTTAAGGTTCTTATGATTTCTTTACAACTAATGAGGTTTTGAAAGTTTCGATCTTAATTTATAATTATATTTCTTAGCATATCCATCGATATTTTCCAGCTTTGAAAGAACAAATGGTCTGGGATTTGTTAGAGGATTTATCCAAACCACAACATCTATTGTTATTGAATGTTATATTCTTTACGGCTTCTCCGTTTCACGAGGATTCACAAAAACGAGACGGAAGGATTTACTTCGATAGAGCGGAAGGTGATAAATGTTTTTTTTTTAATCGAGGTTATGTTACAACTTACTAACACATTGCACGTTTACAATATAGCCTTACTTTATGATTATTGCACTCAGCCACATGTCTTGACAGTCTTTTCCATAATTATTTTGGGACGTCACAATAAACAGGTATGAATTCCACCCTGAATATAATGCGCCATTACGTACTATATCAATCCGAGCAGACCGTTTATATAACCTCTTGAATTTACAAGGTTGGATCAAATTGGATGTACAACGGAATTGCTTCTAAAATGTTACTTGAACTAGGATTACATCGAAAATTTAAAAATCTAAAAAAACCAATAAATGAAAAAGTAGAACAGTTGAGGAATTTAGCTTTCTGGATAACGTTTATCTCAGAGAAGTGCGGACGAAATTCTATGGTTTATTACAAGTACTATATACAATTTTAACTTTATATTTCTTTACAGTTTTTCTTCTGCCACCTATGACCGACCAAATATGATTGATGAAATGGATTGTAACATAGACATTCCTACTATGCCGCCTGATTATCAACCTTTGGATGAAAAAACACGGCTTGATATAGCTTTCATCCATCTTATCAATCTAACCCTTATCTGTTCCAGAGTAAGGAAATATATGCATGCATCGTCGCGAAAGATTTCTTTGTTGCAGGAAGAGGAAAACAAATTCCGACTCTTAGATGTAGCGCTTGGAAATTGGTTTCACAATCTTCCGGACTGGTTAAAATTAAACGAGATGATAAAAGATCCTGACGGGACTCTGCTGAATGGGATAGGTGGTCAGTACATATTTATTTAAGAGACATCAGATGTTGATTATCCATAAGCATTTAGTTTTTAATTGTTTTATTAATCTCGCATACAGGTGACATACATCTTCTTTTTTACACCATACTTATTCTACTTCATAGTCGATATTTAAATTCCACGAATCCATATCTGGACTCTACTTCGCCCACAGTATGCATGCGATCTGC